GCCGAGCGCTTCACCGAAGCCCGTAAGGACTCACAGGCTATGCGTCACTTCCTGCCCAAGCGATCTAGCTCGTCGCAGAGCCGCCAACGGCCGCCTCAGCAGCAGCGAGCTAAGACGGCGCCCCCCGTTTCTCAGCCCAAACCTGAAACGGATTTTCGACGCCGCTCGCGCTCCGCCAACAGGAAACAGCCGCCCGAGCGACGGGGACCTCGGCCCAGGATTGTGCTGAACCCAGAGCCTCGTAAGTCCTCCTAGCTACAGGGAGGAAAAGGGAGAGCGCGTGTCTCGCAAGAGCCGGACCGTTCTCTCCAAAACGTTTAAAGCATTACCCAGTCCCCTCACAGGCGGCTGGAAATGTCTATACAGCAGCCAATGTGCCAGCCACACAGCTCGCCCACCTGCAAACAAACGCCGTTTTTACGGCGACACACAGAAATCACATAAAGAGCTATTTTCTGCCTGTGTCATTAAAGGGTCACGTGTCCACACCAAAGTGCGCATTCCCACATATCAAAACTGTAAACTCAGTGCCAAATGTTTTCCCAGCTCAGGCTGGACGCCCCATAAATGTAGATTGTGTGCCAACTGTTACGTATGCACCACTACACACAAGCACTGTTCCCGCAGTTATAAACACTTCCCCAGTAAAAGCGGGAAGTTGTATAAGAGTAGCGCGTGTGCACGCTGTTATGCACGCACCCCATCTCACACTGTTTATATGGCCAAAAACCTCCCGCCACGAGCGGGAAGTTTTATGAAAGTGGCGCGCGTGCCTACCACAGTCTATGCACCCCCACCCATAAGCACTATACACACAGTGTTAAACATTTCCCCATCTCACTCTGTGAGCATTACAGCGAGCGTGCCTGTAATCTCACACGCACCCCTGCACTCGTCATTCAACAAAGCTGCTCAGCGCGCGCCCGCGCCGCTGACAGCTGTGAACTCGGTATTTACACAGAACGATTCCCTGGCGGGGGCCATACGTCACTGCGACACGCCCCCGGCCAGCATTCAGCCCATATCTGTGCGAGCGAAAGCTTGGGAAAATATCCCCGACATGCCGAAATGGGTTTTGAACATAATAAAACACGGTTACTCGCTCCATTCGCTCGCAGACCGCCCCGCTTCACAGCAGTGGTAGAGACGAAAGTGAGAAAAGATGTTTCACATGTTCTACGCACCGAGATGCTCAAACTGATAGAGAAAGGCGCTATAGAAACAGTGCCCCCCTCTATGAGCGAGGCAGGTTTTTACAGCCGCTATTTTCTCGTCCCGAAAAAGGATGGCGGTCTCCGCCCCATCCTAGATCTCAGACATCTGAACAAAGCTTTAATGATTCGCTCGTTCAGAATGTTAACAACCAAGCATATCCTCGCGCAAGTTCGCCCGGGGGATTGGTTTCTGTCAGTGGATCTGAAAGACGCTTACTTTCACATTCCAATAGCGCCTCATCACAGGCCATTTCTGAGATTCGCTTTCGAGGGACAGTCATACCAGTACACAGTACTACCATTCGGCCTGTCACTGGCACCCCGTACATTTACGAAATGTATGGATGCAGCACTTTCCCCCCTGAGACAGCGGGGAGTGCGAATACTAAATTATCTCGACGATTGGCTAATACTAGCACAATCAGAGAGCCAGTTAGTGACACACAGGTCTTGGATTATCAGTCATCTAGAGTGCCTAGGTCTAAAAATCAATTTTGCAAAGAGCATGCTATCCCCCAGCCAGAATATTTCTTTTCTGGGAATAGTGCTAGACTCGGTGCAGATGACAGCACGCCTCTCATCAGAGCGCGCGCTCACTATTCGGCGCCTTGCAACATCGTTCAGAGCGGGTGCGCGCGCCCCCGTCAAGCGATTTCAGAGGATGCTCGGTCTCATGGCCTCAGCATCAGCTGTACTCCAGCTAGGATTGTTGCACATGCGTCCTCTCCAACGCTGGCTCAAGAGCCGTGTCCCCACTCACGCATGGCGCTCGGGCCACTTTTTAATCAGAGCAAATCACGGCTGCATAAAAGCCCTGACGCCCTGGAAAGCTGTCGACTGGTATCAGTCCGGCGTGAGTTTGGGCGTGAACACAAGGAGAAAAATGATCACGACAGATGCCTCCAAAATAGGTTGGGGGGCCCTTTACGAGGGCAGGCCTGTCTCCGGCTTGTGGTCAAACCCGGAGAAGCGCCTACATATAAACTGTCTGGAATTGAAAGCGGTCGCTTTGGCTCTCAGAGCCCTGCTCCCGTACCTGAAGGACGAGCACGTCCTAGTCCGAACGGACAACATGACGGTAGTCTCGCATATAAATCGTCAGGGTGGACTCAGATCGAGCTCCCTGCACTCGATGGCCAGGGAGCTCCTACTATGGTCCCAGCGCAACCTGCGCTCGCTGAGAGCGGCGCATGTGCCAGGTGTTCTGAACCAGGGAGCGGACATGCTGTCCAGAGACAAAGTTCTCCCAGGAGAATGGTCTCTCCACCCCCTGACGATTCAGTGGTTATGGCAAACCTTTGGCAGAGCAGAGGTCGACCTCTTTGCCTCCAAGGAAAATGCGCACTGCCCTCTCTTCTTTTCAAAGAGCACAGACACGCTCGCCCAAGTCTGGCCGAGCCGACCGCTGTATGCCTTCCCTCCGGTCGCGATGCTACCTCAGGTCATCAGTCGGATCAGGGAGGAAAAATGTGCAGTGCTCCTGGTTGCCCCACTCTGGAAGAACCAGACGTGGTTTCCAGAACTGATGCAGATGACGCAATCTGCCCCATGGCCGATTCCACTGAGGCTAGATCTCCTCAGGCAGGCCAACGGGATGATCCTCCATCCCCGCCCCGATCTGTGGGCCCTCCATGCGTGGCCCCTCAACGGATTCCCGGGAACCTCCCCAGTGGAGTGTTGAGAACCATCACTGAGGCGCGAGCGCCCTCTACGAGGCGCTTATATGCCCAGAAATGGAAGGTGTTCAGTGACTGGTGTAAATCCAGGAACCTGAATCCTGAGACATGCGAAGTGCCGAGTGTGCTCGTTTTCTTACAAGAGCTGTTGGAGGCAGGCCGCACCCCCTCCACGCTCAAAGTATATGTGGCTGCCATAGCGGCATCACATGAACCGGTCGAAGGACGCACACTAGGGAAAAACTGCCTAGTTGTTCGTTTCCTGAGGGGCGCCAGGAGGATGAATCCCCCACGCCCCCCCTCGGTGCCGATTTGGGACCTGGCCACGGTCCTGGACGCACTTAAGCGTGCCCCGTTCGAACCCCTCCGAACTGTGCACCTTAAACAGCTCTCGCTCAAAACTGCTCTCTTGCTGGCTCTCGCCTCGGTCAAGAGAGTGGGCGACCTGCACGCGCTGTCATCAAGCGCTAACTGCCTGGAGTTTGGACCTAACGACAGCAGGGTTGTCCTCAGGCCAAAACACGGGTATATTCCTAAGGTGCTCTCTATTCCTTTCAGAGCACAGGTGATATCTTTGGCCGCGCTATCGTCCCCAGCAGACGAAAGTGACGCTAATTTACTCTGCCCGGTCAGGGCACTCAGAGTATATTTGGAACGCTCTGCCCTGTTCAGACAGACAGAGCAGTTGTTCGTATGCTTTGGCGGCCGCACTAAAGGTCTGGCTGTGTCAAAGCAAAGAATATCGCGCTGGATAGTTGATGCTATAGCGCTGGCTTATGAAGCCAAGGGCCTTCAGTGCCCCTTGGGCATCAGAGCTCACTCTACGAGAGGCATGGCCTCCTCGTGGGCGTGGTCGAGTGGGATACCCATTCAAGATATTTGTGCGGCTGCAGGCTGGGCCTCACCGTCCACATTTATCAGGTTTTATAACCTACAGGTCCCCTCATTGCATTCTAACATACTGTCGGTCTAGCTATCATAGGCTGGGGTGTGTACATGCTAAGCATTGTCTCCTCCCTCATAGAATCACATCTTTGAAACTGATGTGGAGGATTTTTCATACATGACAGTACATGAAAATGTGCTTGTGTGTGTCTCTGGACGCCCATCGGGCCGTTCCACGTTGTCCTTTATAAAACCCGCCTTCGGCTGGCTCGTTGGATAATTACTTCGCTCAAAGGCTCAGGCTCCGGCCTCCGGCTTAATAGAAGCGAAGTCAGCACGCACGGCGTTTTACATGGCGTTCCCATAGCGTAAAGCTATTACGCAATAGGAGGAACCTCTCGAAAGGGAACGACTCGGTTACTAACGTAACCTCGGTTCCCTGAGAGGAGGGAACGAGTATTGCGTAATCTGCCGTGCTTGTGCTTGGTCAGTTTGCTTCAGTCGATTGAACCTAAAGAACTCAGACGACGGGGCGCCCAATATATAGCCCTTGGCCACGCCCATCTTGGCGGGCTCTGACGCGCGTGGGCGCGAAGCACGCTCATTGGAAGCGGGTTCAGAGTCGCCCCGTCATTGGTTCGTGCAAGTTGCTGCAGCACAGCCAATGACCGAGCTGCCTCGCTCATTGCTGTATGCTGTGCAGCTGCAATGCGTTTTACATAAAGACTTCAATATTTCTCGAGAAAAGGAGTTTTCCCATAGCGTAAAGCTATTACGCAATACTCGTTCCCTCCTCTCAGGGAACCGAGGTTACGTTAGTAACCGAGTCGTTATATGTGGTTAATGGTGGTTAGGCAACAGCCCTGTATTCGTTGTGTACACATAACACATGAGGTGCAATGAGCCGGGGCTGGGCGGGGCCGCAGGGGGCGGGGCGCGTTCGGTTCGCCATGAGAGTATCGCGATACGTATCGTGGGTGGTGTATCGCGGTTTTTCGGTTCGGTTCAAATATCGTTACACCCCTAATATATATATATATATATATATATAACATTTTATTTATTATGCATGTCAGTTATCAAGTTTACTTAGTGAACTTAGTGCAATGAATTATTTTTAATTTTTTTATTAATTTTATGCAAATAAACAATGTATATAATATTTATTAAAGTTTTTTTTTTTTTTCAAAAAAAAAAAATGTCATCTGCTAATGTGTCTTTACAGGGTGCCAGCTTGTTTCCTGACTCTTCAGGTCTGTCTGATGATTCCCAGTCTGGAGCCAGTCACATATGGCCAAATATGATCCCACCTCGTTATTCTCCTCCTTATTACCCACCTGATGAGAAGCCCCCGCCATACAGCCCCTAAGGGACCAGTCTGAGGAAGACATTTTCCTGCCAAGAGAGAACTGGCATTGGGTATTTTTGGATATTAGTGTACCACCTCATTGAACAATCATTGTTCTGAATGAACAACCTTTGCAGAAGAGGCTCACCTGTGCGGCAGGTTAAGTATAGAGAGACTACAGCGTTAACCACAGACATTCAGCACCAAACAGCAAATGTAATATGCAACATTAAACCCATACAAGATTCGCTCAAGTCAACAAACCCGATGTGTAAAATATTCATGTTATATAGCCTCAATCCAGGAGGACTATAACAACTAGCCTGACTATGAGATCAAGACTGTTCACAGATAAGCCTTAAAATGTGTGTCCGCTTCCGGTACAGCTTCACCTGGCTCGCAGCCTCTTCCTCTTATAAGTAACCTCTGTGGGTCTCCTACATGTGATTCCTCTAGTAAGTCCATAATGTGAACTTCTCCCTTCCAAAGTGGCCCAAAGTGTTTTGCCTCGCCTCTGCTCCCTCAGCACAAGGATGAGTCTCGTATCTTATCTTGCAATTGATTTGCACTTTATTGTCTTCAGAATTTACTGTATTCACACAGTTCTACGTAATTACTTGAGTTATTTGTAACTGTTTCGGGCAGCTAGATTGTAAAGAACATTTTTTTTAGGCTGAATCTTATTTTTTGTCCTGAGTGCTTCATTAGGATCAAAGATCTAACCTGTAATATGTGGTGTTTCTTTTGCATTACGTCAAGCACACAATCATGTCACAAATTCAAATAATCTTTCATGACAAAATATCCTTTAATAAGCTCTTACAAGAATGGGAGGACTTTCAAAACCTGTACTTCTCACGTCCATC